CTGGCGTACGATCAGGACCGCAGGCATTGGTCAATCTAATTTCACACCTCTGGCTTCTGGACCCATGAAAGTTTCCGTAGGGGCTCGCTACTCGAGCACTCTCACGGGCAGTCGTAAGATTTCACACCCACTCTACACTGACCATCTGCATCGCTCAGGGCTCACATGATGGGGTAACATCTACCCCCAAATTGTACCCCTACTCCTCTTCCTCGGCCAGCTGCATGACCATAGCGTTAGTTTAGAGCCAGCGGAACCAAACTTGCAAGTTTTGTGTCAAATCAGGGCTGAGCAGGCAAAGCATTTTCCGTCTTAGACAGGTGAAATCCTCGGAAGGGAGCAGATTTTTCTTTCCGTTTCCGCGTCGGACAGGTTTCTGTTTTATAAGTAATTAAAGAGGAATATATCAAGGAGGGAGCGGGGAGATTCCGTTAAGACAGGTTTCCGTTTTATACAGGTTTCCGTTAAGGCAGGTTGAACTGTACGTATCATATAGGCCTTTATTATATACAAAAAATGGCTAGAACTAATCTAATAACAGTGCAGTCTTTTGACTTTTGACACTGTAATTACACAGCCCTTGAAGGCAATTTTAGTTCTAATTCTGGTTTTACGTAAAATCTCCCGACGACAGTTATATTATAAGACCTCCTTACACTCACATATAGGCTTACTCACTTAGAAGCTGAGTCCGAATAATTAAAACATTTTTTTCAGACCCGAATCCGAATAGACTGAATAGAATCTAGATCTAATCTAGATCTATATCTATATCTCTAGATCTAGACCTAGACCTAGACCTAGAATATAGATATATAGATCTAGATCTAGATCTAATCTAGATTCTATAACTTGCATGTATACAGGCAGGGCAGCACCTACTCAATTCTTTCTACGTCTGGGATAAATTAGATACATCTAGATATAGATATAGAATCTAGATATCTCCGGGGTAGTTAAAGTCTAGATTTGTGTCTAGAAGTCTAGATCTAGTCTAGGAGGTCCACTGATAGTCTAGCGGGTTATTAATTGGGTGAGAGTTTATTAGACTCCAGGCAGTCCAGGCTCTGGGCCTACAAACTTCTAAACAAAATAAAGTAATTTTAAGTAATTCTTACCGAGTGTTTCAAATCCTTGAAAGGCATCCAGTGAGAGCATTAATTGACGTGTGACCGAGTATGGGATGTGACACAAGGACGTCCTCCACTTGGCATTATCCTGTGTCCCCATTATACCTGCTGCCATCTCCCTGCACATAACATAAACACAACATAAGGCCTAGATTTCTATTCCCAAGTGTGAAACAGGGTCAGGCTAGCAGATAATCGGCCGCTGGCACAGAATTCTACACTTATAGAAGCGGAACTCCCTCTTCGCGATCGCCGATTCGCTGTGAGGAATTGAAACTAAAACATGGCGGCCAATTGAGGGCACCTTTGGCTGCGCCGCACAGCGAGGCTTCGCGTTGCTATGCACGCTGATGCTAGTGGTAGGGCTTGGAAGACACCTTACATTAAGTTACATCAGTATTTTAAAACTTTCTTCGAAGAGGAAATATAGTGAAATAGTCTAGTACATTTTTACTGCCAACAATATGTCATAATTGGCAATGTTACAATGTTTTTGTATCTGTATTGTTGGTTTGTTGTTGTTTTTTTAATGATGGGATGGGATGGGATCTAGTCTAGATCTAGATAGATCTAGATCTCTAGATCTACTACTAGATCTAGATCTACTAAAGATCTTCACAATCACAATACACTTGATAATAACACTAATTATGAACATTAACTCTGTTGGAAAAATATCTAGATATAGTCTTGATTAGTACTAGATCTACGATTGGAGAATGTGTCGGTTGCACATAAAATACATAGGCCTATTGTACATGCTGCCAAAAACACAAAAATGCAGAAAAGGCCTCTAAATATTGTTTTACACATAAAAGCCATTAATGCAAAACAAAGTAAACAAGAGTGGAACTGGCATATGTTTCCTGAATATATGTTCAAAGTCATTTTCTGTGTGTTGGGAGTGTGATTTCTAATGCATGAATGAGAGGCTCATTCAGATGTGATAATGAAGAAACTTGTGTCTACAGTCACAACAGAAAGAGTTCCATGGCGAGTGATCACTGGTCAAGGATTTCAGAGCTGTGTGCATTTTGAGAAAAATGTATCCCCATACTCTGGATCACATGTCGAGGGGATGGGCTTGTCCCCCTGTAATCCCCGCACACAGTAAACAAACACATATTTTGGAACACGAAGAAGAAAAAATAAGTGGTCTCTTGTTCCGGATCAAATTGAAGTCCTGTTTCAATTCGATTAATTGATAAAAGTGCGTATCGCAATGCGTTGGCCACCCCTGCCCTATAGGCCTATATGCTATTTAATAAATACATTCGTCAGACCTGGAATCTTTAATGCCCGCACACAGTAAACAAACACACATTTTTGAACACGTATAAGAAAAAAATAAGTGTTGTCTTGTTACGGATCAAATCGAAGTCCTGTTACAATTCAATTAATTGATAAAAGCGCGTATCGCAAGGCATCGGCTAACCCAGCACTATTACGCTATTTTATAAATACATTCGTCAGATCTGGAATCTTTCATCTTTAATTTTTAATCCCCGCACACAGTAAACAAACACACATTCATGAACACGTATAAAAAATAAGTGGCCTCTTGTTCCGGATCAAATTGAAGTCCTGTTTCAATTCGATTAATTGATAAAAGTGCGTATCGCAATGCGTTGGCCACCCCTGCCCTATAGGCCTATATGCTATTTAATAAATACATTCGTCAGACCTGGAATCTTTAATGCCCGCACACAGTAAACAAACACACATTTTTGAACACGTATAAGAAAAAAATAAGTGTTGTCTTGTTACGGATCAAATCGAAGTCCTGTTACAATTCAATTAATTGATAAAAGCGCGTATCGCAAGGCATCGGCTAACCCAGCACTATTACGCTATTTTATAAATACATTCGTCAGATCTGGAATCTTTAATCTTTAATTTTTAATCCCCGCACACAGAAAACAAACACACATTCATGAACACGTATAAAAAAATAAGTGGTATCTTAAATTGTTACGGATCAAATTGAAGTCTTGTTACAATTCAATAATTGATAATAGCGCGCATTGCAATGCATTGGCTAACTCAGCATTATACGCTATTTAATAATACATTTGTCAGATTTGGAATCTAAAATTATAATCATAAATTATATGTGCCCGCGCGTGGGAAGTGAAAGTGAAAGGAATTGAAAATGCTTTCAAAAACAATTATGAAAGTAACATTATTAAAGTAGGACTACATGTGCTTATAAAGGCCCAAAAAGGTGTACAGATGCGGAAATTAATGTTTCGGATGAAAATAATACGCTATCTCTACTACTGTAGCATGCGGTTAAAAATTTGATGCGCAACTTATCAAATATCTAGGCTACTGAACTATCGAACACCTAGATCTAGATTCTCCTACTTTAACACAATGACTTAGATCTATATCAATTCGTCTTAACCGATGAATATTTTTTTCAAACATTTGTACACATCTATAGGTTCTATATTATTCTAGAAATTTCTTTAAAGAAAATTCTTTAATAAATACTAGCCCAATATTTTTTAAAAAATCCCAGTCAATGGTTTCTACAGATTTTTAAAAAGTTTATAGCTGGAGCTAAATCTCTTTTAAAAGCAAGTCCGTCCTTTTTTCTACTTCTGCTGGCGACATAAAGCTAATTATTGAAAGCATGTTTTGAGAACATTATAAGAACTAGTGAAAAAATATGTTCAGTGTAAAACAAATTTCTTGTAATAAGTTTTACTACTAAAAACTACGTAGGCCATATGCGTATGCAAAATGTGTGTGGGAAGCTAGAAGTGCTATGAATTTTTTTCAGTTCTGTAGATCTTATATTTATAAACTCTCTATGTCTGCTGTTTCTCTTGTTGCACCCAAAAACACAACAATTTAAAACCTTAATTCCAATCTCTAGTTGCACAGTGAATTCTGTAACTCAAAATTACAAACTGGACCGTAAATGTTCCACTTTTCACTCGTTTGTAAAAGCCGCTCTTGCTTTAAAAGCTATAGGGTTACTTCCGAAAACGATAAATCGTGCCCTCAAGACGCCATTGTTTTCGGTCTTCAATTCCTCACAGGTCACGTGGTACAGTTCCCGTTCTATAAGTGTAGAATTCTGTGGCCGCTGGCCAAATACTTCCGGGATCACACTCGGGTGTTCCAGGTCCAAGGTCTTATGGTCTTATTTTGGTAGGCCAACTGCACACGACGATACATAGCCTAATTACCGAAAGCAACCGGGACACTCAGCTCTAGTTGTAACTAGTCTGTTAAAGATCTTGAAGATCTAGAATCTAGATCTAGATGTAGATCTAGATCTAGCTCAAGTTTGCCTGTTTTAGTTCTGGACTATCTTGACTTTCCGATAATAACTGGCGCTGATTAAGATGTAGCTGGTTAATGACTCAACGAGAATCTGACTTTTAGAAAATTGGACATTAGTAATAGATATATAGATCTATATAATGATGATAATGGTGATATTATAATCTTGATCAAGATAGATAATAATAATAATAATAATAATAATAATAATAATAATAATAATAGAATCTAATAATAATAATATGGATGATGATGATAATGATAATATAATATAGATTCTAGTAATAACAAATAATTATAATAGGCCCCTATATAATAATAATTATATATGGCTCGTAGTAGTTAGTGTATAGATCTAGACCTATTATAGTTGCAGGCTAAAAAATTATAACATCACAATAATGGTGATGGTCTGACACTGCCGGTCGCATAAAATGCTGGAATGTCATAAAACACGACTGTACCATATATATATATAAGTCCTATTAATCGCCTATATCTCCGTCCCAGCTTTAAAAAATGAAAAGTGAAAAGTATAACAAGTAACAAATTAGTAGCCTAGCGCCTAACAAAAACGTTTGAGCAAAGCTACAATGTCACTTATTTATGACTTCGTAGAGGAGATTAAGAAGGAAAGAGTGGGTGGAATTTGCGTAGATGGGGAAAAGCTTTGGTCGGAGGTTTCGCCATACTAAGGCTAAGGTGTTGAGTTCATATAATCATTGCTTGCTTAACATGCTGCTTCGCTTGCTACAGTTTTCTTCTTCTAAGCCTATTATTAGCAACGAAACTTCCCCGCAATTTGCTTCCTGTTTACGACTGGCTCTTCCCATAATGTACACACATCGACTGGATCAGGCACATTACTCATTACACAGACTTCATTGTTTATTGTTAGCCTACTTTAGTTTTTTCACTTCAAATATACACATAACAAATTCATAGACCGCATAGAAAGACCAAATTACACCTAGCCTAGCAAATCCAAATATACAAATGACGTCATAAAAAGTCCTAATACAACAATAGCAAGTTCAAATGTAAACATAAAAATCCCAAATGTTATTAACACATAGCAAATTCAAATGCCACATAGCAAGTTCAAATGTAAATTTGTTTGAAATGGAGGAAAAAGAGGCTAAAAATATAAGAAGTGTATCAAGGTAAGAAGTAAAAGGGTTTGGATTTTTTGCCACGAAAAAGTTCGATGTAAGCCGTGTGGTGCCACAAGGAAGAAATCACATGAAACGAAACTGTGTTTTCCAAAGACACACCGCCTGACCCAACTGAGGCTCGAAACCCCGAACCCGAATCGCACGCCTAACCACTGTGCTGCCCACGCCCACGCCACTAAATCGTATTTCCAAATTAAGAAATGTTTTCACAGATGAGAAGACAAGGTATGTAGGTGGCAAGATATTTCACCTTGAGTCCATTTGATTAAACGAAAGTGTAAAATGAAGCAAAAAATAAACAATAAAAATGAAAATGAAAATAAACAAGTTTAACCCCCCCTCCAAAAAAAATAAATGGTTGTGATTACAAAGCAAATGTGTGTTGGGGGGAAATATTTCACCACCAATATATATTGATGAGTTGCCATTTAAAGCTTACCTTAATGAACGAGCGTTGTTACAAACAAACCATACTTCGTTGTGGGGATTGACGGAACAGTTTCTTAGACGGGTGGGTTGAAATGATGGCTGCCATTCCCTCTACTTGAAAGTCGTGAAAGACCAGGCCACCCTCGTCACTGACAGCAATTTATTTCATCATGCGGTTCGGCCCCCTTCGACCCTGCACTACTGGAACAAAGCATTGA